TGTGGACATGCTTTCAATAAACATTGCTGTGGTTTGTTGCAAAGTGTGAAGTCCAGAATGATGTCCTTGGGAAAGAGAGGTAGCTTCCTCCCATGTGCTCTGTGCATGCTCGCTCACTGATTAGTTTCACGCTTTTTGTAGGCTGCTCTAATCTATGTTTCTAGGTGGTACCTGGCTTAGCAGCAGTACTTGTGAGAGATCTGGAGGTCTTGGTAGACCACAGATTAAGGATGAGCCAGCAATGTGCTGCAGCTGCCAAAAACGCCAAAAGGGATAGTACCCCTCTATGCTGCACTGGTCAGGCTGCACCTGGAATAGTGTGCCCAGTTTTGATCTCCACAGTACAAAAATGATACCGAGGAACTGGAAAGAGGGCAGAGAAGAGCAACAAAGAGGGTGTGAAGGGCTTGGAGACTAAATCCTCTGGAAAGTGTTTAAGGGAACTGGGTATGTTTAGCTTTAAGAAGAGAAGGTGAAGGAGAGACATGATAGTGATTTATGATTTATGAAGGTGTGTCCTAAGGAAGAGGGAGTAGATTTATTCTCCAGAGCACCTGAGGGTTAGACGAGAACCAGTGGGTAGAAGCATTACAGTGAAAGATCCAAACTTGAACTAAGGAGGAATTTCCTGACTGTGAGATCTGTCAAGTGAAGGTGTGGGTGCTCCATCACTAGAGGTCTTCAAGAAAGGACTAGACAGTCATTTGTCCGGAATGGTTTGAGGATTCCTGCACTGGGTGGTGGATTCGACTAGAAGTCCCTCAAGGTCCCTTCCAACCCTATGAATCTATGAGAAGGGATGGGACATTAAAGAACTTTAAGAGGACTGGAAAGTTCTCCTGGGTCCCTTCTCTAGAACTAGAGGAAAGAGGGCAGATTTAAACCCGTAAAGGACCAAGAGCTTCAGCGCGTGAAGGATATCTGGGAGGTCTAGGAAAGACAGGCAGAGAAACAAGGTGTGAGAGAGTGAGGGCTGAGCTGAAGAGGGCAGAGAGGAAACAGACCTACAGGTGGGGAGGAGAGCCAGTGATGGGGCCACGTGACGCTTCCTCTCCCACCCTCTTCTTGCCCTGCCAGGGCAACATATCCCAGTACAGTCTGCCTGAAATGGAGAACGAGGACCAGCCTTTCTACCAAGAGCTGGACAGTAGGAGAAGACAGAGAAGGAGGAGATATTCCGAGAAAGGAGGGGAGGAAGATGGCCATAAGGTAGGAAGAAAGGGAGTCTCATTGACCAAGAGTGGGGCGGAAGCCCAGATAGGGGGAGAGGGAAGGGCAGGTAAGTTTAATAGCGGAGAAAGATCAGCTCAGCCCCATCCTAGCTGGTTTCTTGGGCTCATCTGATAGCCTCGTCCCTGCCTCATGATCAGGGAATATCGTAGTGGCCAACCTTGCAGTACGGTCATAAGATCAGAAAGAGAAAAGTCCAATGCATTAGAAAAGAGCTGAGCGTGCACATGGAACGATCCCGTTGTTGCTAAAGTCTTCAAGTCCTCCTGGGTCACTCAAGTTGAAGCCTTCCTAGCCCATATGATGGATGTCAAGTAGCTCTTCAGGTACCAATAGAGGAAAACATGTGTAGCTCAGGGTTGAACAGTGGAGTCCTTGGGGTTCTCTGAGCTTGGTTGTTTTCTTGCAGACATTTTGTTACCTAGCCAGGTAACAAAACGTTTGCAAGAAAACAACCATGCTCAGAGAGCCCCAAGGACTCCACAGCTCTTCAAGTAACTGATTTTAGGCTTCAAGGAGGGCTCCAAATGAACTCTGGTTCTTGCACTTGGCTTTGTGGTTTGAGATCCTGAATGGGAAGCAGGTGTGGACATGCTTTCAATAAACATTGCTGTGGTTTGTTGCAAAGTGTGAAGTCCAGAATGACGTCCTTGGGAAAGAGAGGTAGCTTCCTCCCATGTGCTCTGTGCATGCTCGCTCACTGATTTGTTTCACGCTTTTTGTAGGCTGCCCTAATCTGTAATTTTGGGCAGTGCACAGTGAATCCATATCCCCACAAAGAAGTTCACAGGCACATAATAATTAACTAATTAATGGCCTAGTAATCGAAACAGCAGAAGCTTTAGGACCCTCCTAAGCCCAATGAGCATCCATGCCAGCTGTAATTCTGGGAACAGTGCATGGCAGAGGCATGGGGGCTCTTTCCACAAAGGCCTGGTGCTTGTCTTGTGGGGAAAGACATCAAGGTATTCCTGATCCAGTGTCCTGATGCAAGTAGAGAGGTGCACCAGCCCCTCTCCTCCCTGCTGGTCATGCCCCCCACCTAGCAAAGTGAGTCTAGAAGGATGGCCACATCACAGACCAGCTCCTTTTAACCCATCGAGAGCAATAATCAGGACAAGTTTTTTAGATGCTTCTTAACACAGAAGGTTTGCTGGGGCTTAATCCAAGCTTGTTTCTCCCCAGCTGGTCCCTTAAAACCTGCAGACATCAAGACTTGCAAAGCATCTCCAGCTTGGACTGGGTTGGTGACATATCATTGAGTGACATCAGCTTACTGGTTGCACCTCATCTCAAGCTGACAGATGACCTCCCACAGCAGTTTCATGTAGATGCTAAATAGCCTGGGGGAGAGGAGTGAGTTTGGTGGGACGCCACACTAGGGCAACCAACGACGTGGCCGCTTATTTCCCGCAGCCGCAGACTGGAACCACTGTCAAATGGTGCTCCTTGCTCCTGGCCCTTGGTTGTTGGTCTTGAACCCCACAGAGGTCTGAGAGGGCTAGGAAGGCTGCCCTCCCTGCATCCAGGTCCTGCCAGTCTTCCAACAGAGCAGCCCGTGCTGTTTCGGTCCAGTGACCAGGGCCAGATAAGCTGTAGCTGATTCCCCACAACCTTTTCATCAACAGCTCCACATCTCTAGGGGCTTTTTCTTGCGTATAGTCGAAGGCAGCTCGACTTTCTAGGTTGCCATTTGTTCCAGATGTCACGCCCCTTGCAGAAAACAAGGTTTCCCCTCCCCCACCAGCCTTTGGCCACTGTGGTCTGGCAGAACCTGCTTCCGCAGCCAAACAGGGACAGGCCAGCCCCCGTGCGGGACCAGCGTGGCAGGCGTCCCGTTCACGTCCGTCAGCCGGTTAGCCGAGGAGGGCCGGCGATGGGCCCCACGTGACGGTTCCCCTTCTTCTTGCCCCGGCAGCATGGCCAAGCGCAGCGCGACCTGCAGGAGATGGAGAGCAAGTACCGGCACAGCCAGATGGAGTGGGAGCAGGTGCAGGAGGAGCTCCGTCTGTGCAAGGAGGAGATTGAGAGGCTGAATGGCAGCATCCCCATTGGAGGACGGGTAAGGCCACGGGCAAGCCGGGCGTCTCTGGGAGCGAGGGGGCTTTGTGGCCGGGCTGCAGTCAGAGGCCCCCTCCTTCAACAGACGGAGGCTCTCCGGAGTCAGCACATGTTGGCGGTGCCAGGAGTCAGGCGCACAGATCCAGAGATGTTTTATTTAACCAAACGCTCCAGCAAAGCAGCCCTCCGTTCCCGTGGTTTCTTTGTGGAATCCATGAGGGTTACTATGAATCCTTGTCTCCTGGGACAGGGAGGTTAGAGAGAAGCTGCACGCCACGGAATAAAAGGGGGCCGGGGTCAGTATTGGCAAGGGTGGGGAAATGGATCTGGCAAAATAACTTCGTGGCGAAGTGGCTCCTGTGCTGAGGAGGCCGTGCTGTCCTCCAGACGGGAGCGTGGGTTACCCACCCAGAAAGTTCCCCGTGTCGAGTGGTTGACGACTAGATGGCCAACAAGAATGGATACGTGATTCGGTTGCCTATTTTTTTTTGTGCATGTTGCGTATGAAGTTCTGGTCACCACAATTCAAGAAGGACACCGAGGAACAGGAAAGAGGGCAGAGAAGAGCCACAAAGATGGGGAGGGTCTTGGAGGCCAAACCCTGCAAAGAGCAGTTGAAGGAACTGGGTACGTTTAGCCCAGTGTTGCTCAGCCTTGCTGGCTTTAAGATGTGTGGACTTCAACTCCCATGCTGGCTGGGGAATTCTGGGAGTTGAAGTCCA